GAGGGGAGGGGAGGGGAGGGGAGGGGAGGGAGGGAGGGAGGGAGGGAGGGAGGGAGGAAGGAAGGAAGGAAGGAAGGAAGGAAGGAAGGAAGGAAGGAAGGAAGGAAGGAAGGAAAAGAAAGAAAAAAATTTTTTTTTCAGTTTCAGAGAAAAGACTAAGCTTGTTTCACACACATACCTCTCACTCACATCATAAAATAGACACTGGGCAAACAGTACTCATATATACCTGAATGATCAACTGATTTTGCAAGGTCGTCTGAAATTATTCCAAGAATGTCATCATCTGTGTTTAAGACTTCGGAAATATCGGCTAAGGGATCATCAGCAGTGCCTAAGCGCAGTAAGTATGTTTGTAAAGTGTCAGTATTTTCCTAGACATTAAATTCTAAAACTCACTCATTCAACCATTTACTAAATATCTAGAATACAGCAGATACTGAGGTAAGTACTAGAGTCATAAAAAGTTTATTACTTCTAAAGTAAGGAATTTTTCATAGAAAAGGCACTCCAACATTTTCAGTAACAAAACATTAAAAATTAAGACTTTTGTTTTTGTGACTACTGTATATTAACAATAAAATAAAATTTAAAATAAAACCCACAGGCAATAAAAGTGAAACAAAGCAAAAAATTAAGAAAGTGGCATCACTAAAAATGACATCTGGAAAACACTCCAGAAGATAAATAAAATATTAAAGGCAAACCTACTGTTTAGAAGTTCCTTGTAAAGTATAAACCAGATACCATCTAGTTAAATGCCTACTTCCAGCTTTACCCTTAACACTGATTAATTCACTTATTTATTCAAGAAAGTGTTTGAGCACCCACAGAATTATGTCTATGGATTATGTTAACAGGCACTGGTCCAGCCACTGGGAATACAGAAGTGACTAAAACAAAGTGCATGGCCTCCAGAGCTTACTTTCGCAGAGGGAGTCTGACAGTAAATAAATGACAGCAGTGTAAGTGCTATAAAGATAAGCAATAAGGAAAGAAGGATCCAGAATAAGATGTGGAAATACTGTTAGATATTAGATAAAGTGGTCAGGGAAGGCCTTTTAAAGGTGGTTACCAAGCACAAATCTAATAAACAAGCTACGGGAGCATATGCCCTAAAATGGAGAGAGTACCTCAGGCAAAGGGAAAAGCAGATGCAAAGACCAGAGCAGGAAGAGTTTTGTCAAGACAAGGGGCCAGTGCTTGCGGTAAGAAAGGGAAAGAGTGGTAAGAGATTGAAAAGGCAGTTAAGCAAGATTATGGATGGTTTTACAAGTCAAGGCGAAGACTGAGCTTTATTCTGAAGTATAAAGTACAGCTGACCCTTGAACAACATGGGGGTGAGGGGCACCGACCCTCCACACAGTCAAAAATCCGAATATGACTTGTGGTCGGCCCTCCCTATATCCTCATTTCCACCTCTGCAGATTCAGGCAGCCAGGGATGGTAGGACTCCTGTACGTATCAGTGGAAAAAATCCTCATATAAGTCGACCCTCGCAGTTCAAACCCCTGTTGTTCAGGGGTCAACTGTATAATGGGAAGTTGCTGGAAGACTGCCAGAGGAGGGTGTGACTGACATCTTACAGGGAAATGCTGGTTGCCAGGCGCAGAACCGACGGGGGTGGAGGAGGGGGTAAGGCAT